TGCTTTCATCTAAGATTCTAAGATTGAAAAAAAAACTTTGCATGAAATGATATTAAAGTACGTGTAGCTGTTGTTCAATGTCATCAGAGAAGAAGCAGACATTCCGAACTTTGGAATATTTTACTAAATGACAAAACCACTTACATCTCATTCATACACCAAGACATCATCTTTTATCGTTTGATGTCAAAAATGCATGTTTAGAAGTATCAAAACGTGATTTCTTGAGTTTGAAAGACAGAAAGCGCAATTTTTTAATAACACTTTAGGTAGCGACCAGAAGTGCCCAGGACAAAAAAAGTAAATTGATGTAGATTTATCTACCATGCTCTATAGTTTCTGAAATCTGGTAATTGTTAGGTTGCTATCACACAATTTTAAAAAAAAATTGATAATTTAAAATATTTGAATATATGAATTTAAAGTAGCTGCAGATCTTAAGCTCGCTGGTCTGAAAAAATTGGGATAGACAAAGAGATTTTGTCAGTATTTTTTTTTCGGAGAGCTTCAGTTCTGTAGCTATAATTTTGATTGAAGGTAAACTAGTCGGATCAAAACAAAACAAATACACTATTATAAATAGAATTAAACTTTATACGTTGCTCAGGGCGGGTGTGACTGATCAATTGCCGATGCTTACTTCTCCTTGGCACCTGATCCCACCTCTGAAATTTTCAGGGGTCCGTGTTTTATGCCATCTTAACATATTTGTATGTTTATACTCGTGATATTTTGAGATCGATCACTGTTCGTTATCTTAACCTTGTACATTTAAATGTTGAAGTTCATTAAAGGGATTCTGTATTTTTGAGGTACTGAGTACTTCCGTTTTAAATTATGTGCTACTTAGGCACTACCCTCAGTGGAAGACGGACAAGTAAACTAGATAGTCAAGTTTTAAAAAATGTACATTATGACCATGCAAATATTTTAAATGTTCAAACGAGTAAATGATTATGCTACAATCGTTTAAAGTAGGACAAGGATATTGCACAATATATACAGGGACAGATACTGAATATTTGGCACATACTTTTCATGCAATACTCTTGATGTCAAAGAAAACGCATGAAAAGTAAAGTTGTTGTCTAATCAAGCTATACTAGTATAATATATGATTTCACATGTACACTTAAAGTAATTGTTTGATTAACAGTTTATTTGTCCTTCGCAATAATTATCCAGTTAACAATGTCACTCTCTTCAATATTCAAATTAATATGTCAGCAAAGCAATTTACATTGATATTTTTTAGTACATGTAATAACAAGTATGTGAATTTCTATAAATAAGCCTGTCTCAAAGACTCAGAATAAAAATCATAATTAACAGTTTGAGCAAATTTAAAAATATGTGTACAACTTACATGTTTTTAAACAGATCTAGACATTTGACAAGTTTTCAAATAATAATTAATTATTATTTAAAATCTTTGTCAATTGCCAAGATTTTTTTTTATGATTCTTTCATTTTGTTTGCATATTTTATAACCTTAAGGTTGAATTTTAGAAAAGGATCACTCTGCCGATTTAAGTTTTTATATGTTTTCTATTTTTTTAAGAATTAATTTTACTATTTTCAGTTTCCCATAAATTTTTTTTTCTAAAAATAAAAGTATGTGATCGTTTATGATTGTTTGTAATTAAAAAAAAAAAAGAGTACAGAATGTACCCCTGTGAGCTAAACTTTTATAATCTTTTAATTAGAGAAGAAATAACTTTTCAATATGAAATTAATTCCATTGTTTCTACTAAAACAGTTGTACAATTTAGAGAAACTTAAAATGTATTTAAGGCTTTTAATAAAAATTCTTTTTCGTATATTACTTCACTTAATAAAACGTATGTCTAAATACTTTGGGGTAAACTCGTAAGAGAAAATCAAACACGAAAGTTTCGCCTACGTTTTGCAGTTAGTAATAACCTTCAACCCCTTTAGTCAGCAATGAACCCGTCCATCTAGTGCCCATCGTGGCATAATTAGGTCAAATAATTAGGGCGGTCTATAAATTGTTTATGAGAGGTGTTATATGATTTATACAAAATCGTTCAACTCCCAAAAATAAACATTAACTATAAATCGCGATTGCAGGATTTACCGACGAGTTTATACTCTGCAGGTAACCCCTAAAATTCAAGCCGAGCGATTATCTCGGTATTAACCTGTCAGAAGAGGTAGCGATGGTAAACAGATCATAGGTAGCGCTTTGACGAAACTTCCGATGTCGCATAGGTAGCGCTTTGACGAAGCTTCCGGTGTCGACAAAAATTGCGTAAGACCTTTGGTTACATGACATAAAGCGATTAGCGTATACGCTAACCGCTTAAAAATTGACCATCAGACCATTTCACTGGCAAGATTCCTGGTTTGAAGTTCTTGTTCTTTCCTATCCAAATTGCTTCAGTTTTATTCAAATTAATTTTCAGACCAGAACAGTACTTAAATTTTTGAATAACATTTAATATTTCAATTCCTGATTTTTCATCACTTAGAAAACATGTAGTGTCATCTGCTAACTGGCTAATCTTAAATTCTGTCTCCCCTATTTTTATTCCACGTATATTTCTATTTGCCCTTATGGCTATTGCAAGTAGCTCGACACATAAAATGAACAGGTAGGGTGATAAAGGGCATCCTTGTCTCACTCCTCTAGTTAATTTGAAGAAAGATGTTGTATACCCATTGTTTATAACACTACTAGAGATATCTGTATACAGGATTTGAACCCAATGTCTGAAACTTTCACCAAATCCAAATATTTCTAAAGCTTTATCGATGAAAGGCCATTCTATTGTATCAAATGCCTTTTCAAAATCAACTAAGAGAATTAGTCCAGGAATATTCTTAATACTAGTATAGTTTATAAGATCAGATATGGTTCTAATATTTTCTCCTATAAATCTATTCTCTAAATATCCAGTTTGGTCAGAATCTATTAAATGAGGTAAATAAGTTTTCATCCTTTTTGCCAATACCTTTGATAATATTTTATAATCAAAATTTAGAAGAGATATTGGTCTCCAGTTTTTTAACAAAGTTCTATCTTTATCTTTTTTAGGAACTAGAGTTATTATTCCTTTTCTTTGGTCAACTGAGAGAGTGTGTTTTTCAGTGCTTTCATTTATACTATCAATGACTAGTTCTGATATCTGATTCCAGAAATACTCATAAAATTCCATTTGAAACCCATCAGTTCCTGGTGATTTATTATGTCTAAAAGTTTTCAAAATATTTGCACATTCTTCATAAGTAATTGGTCCCTCACATGAAAGAGATTCCTCTTTTTGAAGTCTTGGAATGTTTACATTATTTACAAAATAGCCAAGATTTTCATTATATTCATTATAATCCAAGTCAGATGTATATAATTTCTTATAAAATTTCATCTCCTCCTCTAATATTTCACTTTTACATTGTACAATATTTTCATTTATATTAAGTGTTGAGATACATTTATTTCTGTAATTTCTTTTTTCCAAAGATAAAAAGAATTTTGAGCATTTTTCCCCCTCTTCACACCATTTTGCCTGAGATCTTAATATAATTCCTTTAGGTTTGTTATCATTTAATATTTCCAACTCTTCTCGTATTTCATTATATATGTTAATATTTTCTTCAGTTGGATCTGTTGCCAATTTTACATTTTGTTCCTCTAGTTTCTTAATAAGACTTTCTTCACTCTTTCGATTTCTACGAGCTTTTAGTTTTGAATACTTTACAATAAATCCTCTTAGTTCACATTTAATTGTATCCCATTTCAACTGCTTATTTTCTAACTTAAAGTATTTTTCTTTTAACTGTGCAATTGTATTTTTTATTCTCTCTACAAATACCTCATCTTGTAATAAGGATGCATTAAATTTCCAAAAACCAGGGCCTCTATCTACAAAAATTTTTCCCTTTAAAGTTATGGTTATAACACCATCATACATTTTAGTTATTAGTTGGCCATTATCGTCTATAGTCAGTAAATTAAAACTTCCAAATATCAAACAGATGTGGCAGACTTTGCAGTGTCTTTTATTTCGAGTTTACTGAGATATATCGAGTCGATTCATTACAACTTGATGTTGTCAAAACTAAAAGAATTTTGGTGTTTGTGGTTTAATTTGAATTTTTATTGCAATCAAAATTTTATTGAGATATTGCTTATTATTTTTTTATGTCTATCAAAAAAAACATACAGGATGTGCAAGAAAATAGGGAAAATGGGATTATTTTAAAATGTAGTATTTTTAAAAGAAAACATAATACATCAAACTTCTTTTTTTTTAGCTTAAACTTAAAGCATTTACTAAATTAACCAAAAAAGTAATTGGGGGGATTAATTGTATTAAATTTCTTTCATATCAAAACTTTTCAAATCAGAATTGAAAGAATTAATGTTAAGCAACAATCAAAAGGACAATATTTTTTACATACACAAGAAGAGAAACCCAGTCAAGCTTTTAATCTTATAATTGATATCCCTCATACAATACTGATGAATTTCTTTTAATAATCTATTTCAGAAAGTCTTTTATAATGTTGTTATATTTTCTTTGTTAAATGAGGTTCTACAAAAGAAAATTCTGAAACTTTTTATGCATTCAATTGTGAATTCTATTGTTACTTCGGAAATCTTAACTAGAATGCATATGCATATAATGTTGTTATCAAAAACATGTTATAGTCAGTTGAATTTTTCAAAAAAAAAAAATGCCTGTCATTATTTTTTAATTCACCCATGTACTTGTTTTCGGCCACATGAGCGGTCGAGATCTGTTTGTTTTTATAGATGTTGTTTTATTACCAAAGTGCACTTAAGATTAGGAAATATGATTCTTTATTCTATAACACAAGATCGAATAATCCCTGATAGATAGGAGAAATAAAAGTTATGAATAAATCGTTTAAGAATTGATATATATAGTAAGTCAATTTTTTTATTCATACGTTTTTATCATTATTGTTATTCATAAAACATTAATATTAATGATTTATTTAGAACTTTTTTCAGTATGGGAGTGTGTAATTTATAACTGTACTGAAAATAATAAATAATGTTTTTAATAAAGAGAAGTAAAAAAGTGAATCTATTGAATATTGTTAAACTTATATTTTTATAACGTTTTTCTTATAGCCTTTTACAAACTCTCTCTCTCTCTCTCTCTCTCTCTCTCTCTCTCTCTCTCTGGCAACCATTTATTAACAGTTTATACATTTTCGATGTAGTAATAGTACTTCACCCATCGTGTGTTGTAACAACTACCATCTAAATGAGGCTGGCGATGGTTGTAAAGGTACTTTCAACATGTTTTTTTTTTAATTCTAATATTGATGATTCATTTTGATGCATCAGTGTATCCATGTGTTTTATCTATCTGTATTTTGTATTTACTTCCGGTTAAATATTGGTAAAATTTGATTTAAACAGAGTGTGACCCTGGGTACTTTGAGCATAACTGTTCAAGTAAATGTCCAGAGGGATACTTTGGTGAACTTTGTGGAGATCAGTGTAAATGTACACCAGGCCAGCTGTGCCACCACGTGATCGGCTGTAAGGATGGTAAGTCTGCGATGTCGTACAAACACGTGATCATATATTTTTGAAACACATTTCCCTATTTTAAATCAACATCCTTTCTTTGATTTTTTTTTTTACATATCATGGTGCATGTATCTTTTTGTAATAAAAAAAAAAAATAGGAAAAGATTTTAACTATCGTAATAAAATGTTAGATGTGTTTTCAGAGAGTCCTGTGACATTACTTTTACAGATCTATTTCTTTTCTTTCTTAATCATATAGATATAAATGAATGATTCAGCTTGTCAAAAGTTATATTTCAAAAGAAATCTTTAAGACTGATTAAGAGATTTAAGACTATATTATTCAAAGATTTTCTATGTATTTGTAAAATGAGGAAGTCATGACACGGTATTTTTGAACAGCAACGTAAAATATTTTACTAACATTATTAATAGATTAAGAAATAATTTCCTGTTAATCCTAATATGATGTTCATAATTACATACCTCATAGAATACATTGGGAATATTTGATATGAAACTTGCTTGTATCCTTTTAGTTTCTCACACTGTTGGAACATTAGATCAGGGACATTGCCCGTAAGTAGCTGAATATTCTTTGGGGTTTTTTGCATGTAAATATATATATAAATATTCTTTGTTTTTGCATATAAGTGCAACATACATGTATGCTTTGCGACAGATATTCTAAATACTTGATGCATTTATTTTCCAAACTTTGAAAATCTTTCATGATGCATCATATTTTACAAATACAATATTCAA